CGGGAAGGGGCAGGACGCTTGCCGCCGCCGCCGCCTCAGGGGGTGCTGCTGCGACCCGGCAAAGCCGTTCGTCCCGGATCCCGCAGGGCCCCGCAAGCTCCTTGTGCCGCCCGGGGTCAAGCCGGGCTACCTCCACTTCCCCGGGTGTGGGAGGGTGTCCCGGCCTCTTCTGAAGGGAGTCAAAACCCGGGCCAGTCGCCCACCGCCCTGAGAGGAAACAGTCTGCGCCGGATAGGGGACACTCAGGTTTTCTGCTACTCTGTCCTCTATTGATACACCTTTACGTCCTTTATTTGTCCTAATTAAGGAGGCCCAGAATTGGTACGACAAAGAAAACCATAGTTTGTGAAGGGCACAGTTGGTGAACGATCGCTCCATTTTGTCCTCTATTTGTCCTCTTTGGGAGGAAAATACAGGACAAAAAGGGCTTTGTATCAATAGAGCACAACCGGACTGTCCTCTATGACGGCCACCCTAGTGCCAGATGAGAGAAACTCTACCCCCCCTCCCTGCCCTCCCCAGGGAAAACCCTAGAGAGGAAGAAGCTGGTTACATCCCCCCAGAACACAATCTGGCTTCCACAGGAGCAGGAACTGCTTACCCCAGCAAACACGTTTTGCAGCTCAAAGGGAGCTGTGTGAGGGCACAAGTACTAGGTATTTAAAAACACGCAGGCACTGCCCCCACTGTTGCTAACATTGCACCCGTTTTAGTAGGGTGCCAGTTAAAGCATCATCTTACTCAAAAAATGCTAAAAGGCATTGGAGCTGGAGGGCAACTGGGGTTGCAATAGTCTGTGAGGCATAGACTAGCATTTACTATACATTTGTACAGCACTTAGCACAACAGACCCCCCCCCCCCCCAGTTGCCTGGCCCTTTTAAAGTAAAAATAATCATTGATAATATACTGAGGGTTTTGATGCTGATACGAACTTTTATGGAGCAAAATCTAGGATGCTCTGCAGGCCTCTGGAACTGGAAGTGGTTTACTCCCTCTTCTGGTCCACACTTACAGGAAAATCCTCTCCCGCCACAAAGAGAAAAAAAGTCTATTTTAAATCATGTGCTGCAATATTGGAGCGTTATGGACTCTGCCCAGGGAAACCTCTTGAACCGGAAGCAGCAGAGCTGCACTTACATGGCATTCTTCTGTATCCGAGCTACATGATTCCGCTTCATGGCATCGCTAATTACTATAGCTGCATTCATGCAGTGTTGACAAAGCTAATTAGACAGGGGCACAGTATGACCCAGTCGTACTGTTGCTATTCTGCTTTGGCACCACCATGATGTTTGGGACTGTTCCTGAAAATCTGGGGTGGTTCTTTTACTTTTGGTGCAGCTGAGCAAGTACAAGCAACAGTGGGAAGTTTTTGAGGGAAATAAACTTTTCTTTCTTTTGAGCAAGTGCCCCTCCCTGCAGGGCAGGGGACTGGGTACAGCAGTGGGATGGAAAAAGATTTTAAACAATGAATTAATAGCCAGTGTACAAAACTGTGGATCTTGCCTCTTTAACACTGAAACATGGATCTCTTCCAGAACTGGAGCAGAAATCAGCCAAAATGCTACATTCAATCAATGATGAATCACATTTTTGCAGAGGTACAGCAGTAGGAAGGTACAGAGGAGGACAGGTGTCATAATTTCTTCTCAGCAGAGGTTTGGATTGAAATCTTGTGGCTATCTATGGTTGACCAAATTTAAAATCCAGATGTGGGTTTGGCTGAGGGAACACTATCCAAATTTTGTGGCTCATTCCCATCTCTAATACTCATTTAGCATTAGTTTCAAGGCTGTTTCCAAAAATCCCGCATGACCCACAATTTTATTTCTGTGTTTTTGATAAGGGAACTGAAATCCTTTACAGATAAAGACCCTGAATTTCTCTTTTCAAACTGTTCTCTTGACTCATCATGCAATTCTGAAAATGGAATTTTTCACAAACTCTTTCATTGTTTTAGCATTTCTGAGAGAAATAATCAATTCTGAGGAGTTTTTCAGTCCCATGACAGGAATCTGAACTCCCTTGTGGAAGTACAAAGTTAGTACACTGAATTCACTGGAGTAAAAACAGTATAAAGATTTTGGCCCCAGGGCTCTGAATGAAGGAGCTTAATATAGATTTAAAAGATGAGAAATGTTTCAGAGAGATTCAGTTGAAAGAAAAGCTGCCATGTCACAGCTACTCACAGGCAGAACTTGCATGAACAAGTACTGGAACATCAGACATGATGGCATAGAAATAAGAGTTAAAACAAACCGAGCAGATTGAGTTTTAAAAGGAAATTATTAATAGCTTCAGCCCTTAACACTTAGCCTCTAACTTATATCCTGTGCCTGCTCCATGGAGGATTTGGTTCACTTTACTTTAAAAAAAAAAGATAACTTTCATTGTCTTACAGCCCAGTCCTCTACCGTTGAAGTCAATGGATGCTTTGTTTTAACTTCAGAGGAAGCAATATCAGACCTCAAGGTCCCAATCTTGCAAGGGATCTTCTGCATGTGTTTTTTTTCCAAAAATATTTATGCCTCTCTATATAAGTAAATATATATTCTGATGATGATGGCTGATCACTCACAAATGCTAAAGATTGTCTTCCAAGCCTCTTAATAGTGAATCCTCAGGCAGCTCCATAGCCCAATTCTAAATCCACATGTCTTGTTGCAGTGAGGACGGGTGTTTCCAGGAGGGATGGGCACTGTGTTGCTGCATTGGATGTTCTGATGTCCTTTTAGCCTGTTCCTCTTTTCCTCTTCTGCCTGTCGACGAGCTGTTTCAAAGTGTTGTGGTCCCTCCCAAAGAGCCTTCCTCCATTTTGGTTGGTCCTGAGCAAGGGTCTCCCAAGTGTTGATGTCGATGTTACACAACTCCCCCACACCCCTCCACACCCCCCACCACAATATACAAGAGTAAGACTTCATTTTGAGCTATTATGCAATCACCTCTATGTACACAGCACATACACAAATCGGGACAAAAATATTTTTAAAAAATAAAATTAAAATATGTTATTGCGGATGTTTGATTTTTAAAATATAATTTGGGGTTTTTTTTCTGGTTCCAAGACGGCTAACCCCCTTCCCAAAAGATGTACTTCCAGGGGGAAGGCGAGGGACTTCGGGTGACAAAGGTCAGAGGGTTAGGAGATGGGACTTTCAGTTCCAAGATAGTGACCAGTGGGCCAGGCACCTGTCAAGGGGTGGGGCTATCCTTGCGGCCCTTGACGGTTTACCAAAACTCACTAAACAGCCCTCCTGCCGAAATAATTGCCTGGCCCTGATCTCGCCGCATCCCTGACATACCTGCTGGGCCAACTCTCTTAAAATGGAGGTAGCCTAGCTCGCTTTATACCACCTGAAGAGAAATATTAGAAGAACCACTAGACATTGAGTTAGAACAGGTTTCCTGTTTGTTTGCATAATCACTGTGGCCCAGAGCAAATTGTATTAGGGTGAATAATAAGGTCTGTAGACTTTTCTTGGTTGGGGGGATGGGGACCAAAGAGTTTCTAGGGTATATACATTATATTCAACACATTTTAAGCATATTTATTGTGTTTGGCTAGTTATTGTTTGCATAATACCAGACCAATTCCACTACTAGTTTTTATATTTTAATTAACTATACTCTCATTTTTCTACTTCTAGGTAGTTCTAACAAGAATCTTACATCAAGTGGAGATAAAGTTGTGATGTTTACAATAAAGAAATTGAATTCCTACCTTTAAGAATGATGGGTCAGTACTTGAGTACGAAATGTTAAGCAAGGGTGAATCAGTTCCTCTATCAATATAGAGCTATAAGAAAGCCAGATAAGTTGTTAAAAATAGTTTTTGGTGTTCTTAATGTATCTATTGAAACAAAAGAAATGGTTGGAAGAGGTACCCAAAGTCATAAGTAAAGCACTATAATACTTCAAATATTTTTGGGTGGGAAGCATCTGATGAGCTGTGATGGGAACCTTCATCTCCAATACTTGACCCCTCAATTTGTGGAGTCCCACAATTACCATTTCTATCTCTGGTTCTTTTCAAAATGTGCAGGTAACCACTAGACAAAATGGACAAACATGCATTCAGGGCTAGCAGCCCTACAGATTATGCACAACCCTATACTATACTAATGCTAAAGCCCTATACCAGGGATCAGCAACCCCCGGCATGCATGCCAAGCATGGCATGCAAGGCCATTTTGCTCGGTGTCTCTAGTGGGTTATGGAATAGAGAAAATCCCACACAATTTACTGATTCGTTTTGATGCGCTGGCTGGGGGAGCAGTTAGCTGATTGCATGATTTCACAATGATTACACGCTTAATTCATACAACACAATTTTATTTTAAAACTCTTTACTACGTATATAACACTGCTTAGCTTTAAGAAACACCACAAACATTAAGAACACAATAACTACATATATCAGAAACAATGCTCCGAATGCACTTCCTTCCCAAACAATGCTATAAGAATTAGTGTTACAAAAACAACTACAATTACAACTAAAAGTTAAATTTGAATCAATACTATTATTTTTCATAATATACTTACAATCCTAGAATTCCGAGAAGCCAAATACCAAAATATGGTTTCATTCCTCAGTAGTACGATTTAATGGGTTGGCCTCAGTAGTACGGTTCAATGGGCACGCCTCAGCAATACAATTCAACAGGCTGGCCTCAGCAGTGATAGGACTAAGTCCCCTTCCTTCAGTCCCTTTCAGGTGCTCCGCGGCTTCAGCGTGAACTAAGAAATTCGTGTTCACGGAGAGGTTGGGTCAGGTGATCAATCTGGTCCGGGCTACACTTGCGATTCTTCCTTCGTTGTTCTACAAGTGAAGTCACCTCCAAATTGGGACAGGAAGTTACACATTTTATTGAGCGAGCTGACGTCAGTGGGCTCCTCCTACTCAACTTGTCACTACTCCCAAATTTGGGCTCGGATCTTACTTGTCATATTGAATGAAATAGTTTGAATGTTTGTAAAGGTTGCCCATTAGCCAGTTTCAGGAAGAAGATAGGATTTATCTCCTTATCTAAGTCATTGTTTTGGGACTACGTGCAAAACTAGATAAGGAGATAAATCCTATCTTCTTCCTGAAACTGGCTAATGGGCAACCTTTACAAACATTCAAACTATTTCATTCAATATGACACTCGGCACGCCACCGCCAGCCTGGGCTCTAAGCAGCTGCTGCCAGCCACGGAGCCCAGCTTGCTCCCAGCAGGTGGCTGGGAGGCTGCAAGCCCTGCTGCAAGCAGACCAGGCTCTGTGGGCTGGCTGCAGCCAGGAGGCTGCAAACAGCTGCTCTGAGCTCCGGCATGTCGGCACTCCAACACCTTCTAAGGTAGACAATGTGTTTTTTTCAGCACTCCAGCCAAAAAACTTTGCCTACCCCTGCTCTATACTATACTAATGCTAACTCTGTACTAATGCTAGAAGCAGGAGGAACTGCTTGCAAACAATAACCTAGATTTAGTGGAGCTAATGGAAACCTAGTGGGACCCTACCCATGACTGGGCAGTATCCATTGAGGACTATAGGTTGTACAGATGGGACAGAGTAGGAAGGAAAGGGGGGTGGGGTTTGCTCTCTATTGTAAGGAGTGCTGTACATCTACTTTAATCAAATGGGATCAGAGGAGGGAAAAGTTGAGGTATTATGGATTAAGATACATGGAGGTCGGGGGGAAAGGGACTTGGTGGTGGGGACCTGCTACAGACCACCACATCAAGAGGAAGAGCTAGACTTGGAATTCTTGAGGCAGGTCTCAAAGGCCGTACAGTCTAGGGACATGGTTGTCATGGGGGACCTAAACTACCCTGACATCTGCTGGAAGGAGCAGTCAGTCAAATCCAACCATTCACGTAGGTTCTAAACCTGCGTACAGGACCTTCACCTAACACAGGAGGTATATGGTCCCATTAGGACGAATGCCTTGCTGTACTTGGTGTTGGCTACAGGGTATGACCTAGTAGCAGAGCTGCAGATTCGTGGTCACCTTGGGGACAGTGACTATCAATCAATTGAATTCACCATACGGCGTAGGGTGGGAAAGATAACTAGTAGGCTGGAAGTGCTTGATTTTAGGAAGGCTAACTTCAGTGTGCTCAGGAGTTTAGTCAATGACACACTGTAGGATAGGAGTATTGGCAAGATGGGAGTCCAGGAAGGGTGGTCGTTCCTAAAGGAAACAATCCTTCGGGCATAGAGGGAGACAATCCCATTGCAAGGGAAAGCGGGGAAAGGGGCCAAAAAACTTCCTTGGCTAAACAGAGGAATCCAGGGAAGTCTAAGGGCAAAAAAAAAGAGGCATATAGGCAGTGGAAGCAGGGGGAAGCTACCAAGGAGAAGTATACCTACTTGGCCTGCACTTGCAGGGAGCCAGTTAGAAAGGCCAAAGCAACTACAGAGCTGAGGCTGGCAACAGAAATTAAAGACAACAAAAAGTCTTTTTTTTAGGTATATAGGGAGTAAAAGGAAGGCACAGGGCAGCATAGGACCCCTACTGAACAAGCAGGAGGAATTAGTAGCAGACAGGGTAGACAAGGCTGAGCTCTTCAATGAGTTTCTTGCCTCAGTGTTCCTGAACAAGGGACAAGACAAGTCTCCCAATGGGTTCTTAGATAGGCATCAGAGGGACACCAGCCCACCAACTGTTGATGTTGACTTGGTGCAGTCACTTGGATGGACTGGATGTGTTTAAGTCAGCAGGCCCGGATGAGCTGCATCTGAGGATGCTGAAGGAATTGGCTGGTGTTATAGCAGAACCACTGGCATGGCTGTTTGAGTGCTCGTGGCACTCTGGTCAAGTCCTGGGGGACTGGAAAAGGGCCAATGTGGTCCCTGTTTTGAAGAAGGGGTGGGGGGGAAGGAGGATCTGAGTAATTATAGGCCAGTTAGTCTCACCTCTATCCTTGGAAAAGTCTTTGACAAAATTATTAAGGATCATATTTGTGTGAGTCCAGCAGGAAAAATAATGCAGCAGGGCAACCAGCATGGATTCATAGCAGGTAGATCATGCCTGACTAATCTGGTTTCTTTTTATGACCAGGTCACAAAACGCTTAAATGCAGGAGTAGAGGTGGATGTCATTTACTTGGATTTTAGAAGGCCTTTGATATGGTATCTCATTCCATTCTCATAAATAAATTAAGAGGCTGTGACTTGGATGATTACATGGTCCGGTGGGTGGCAAATTGGCTTGGGGGGATGGCACCCAGAGAGTGGTGGTGGATGGGTCAGTATTGACTTGGAAGGATATGGACAGTGGGGTCACAAAGGGCTTGGTCTTTGGACCTGTACTCTTCAATGTCTTCATCAGTGACTTGGATGTGGATGTGAAGCGTACTCTGTCTAAGTTTGTGGATGATACTAAATTGTAGGGTGAAGTGAACACACTGGAGGGTAGGGAACGATTGCAGGCAGACCTGGACAGGTTGGAAAAGTGGGCAGAACACAATAGGATGCAGTTCAACAAGGACAAATGCAGAATGATGTACCTGGGGCATAAAAATATCCAGCACACCTACTGGCTGGGGAATGACCCTCTCAGAAGCACAGAAGTGAAAAAGGATCTCAGAGTCATAGTGGACTCCAAGATGAACATGAGTCATGTGTGATGAAATCATCAGCAAAGCTAACCGCACGTTATCATGCATCACCAGATGCATGACAAATAGAACCAAGGAGGTGATACTTCCCCTCCATGCGGCATTGGTCAGACCACAGTTGGAGTACTGTGTCCAGTTTTGGAAGCTGTACTTTAAGAAGTATGTGTATAACCTCAAGAGGATCCAGAGGAGGGCCACTCATATGGTTAAATGTTTGCAGGCCAAGCCCTATGAGGAGAGGTTAAGGGACCTTGATCTCTTCAGCCTCCACAAGAGAAGGCTGAGAGGTGATCTTGTGGCTGCCTACAAATTCATTAGCAGGGCGCAGCAAAGAATCAGAGATGCTCTGTTCACCAGGGCGCCTCTTGGGGTAACAAGGAACAATGGTCACAAACTGACAGACAGCAGATTTAGGCTGGACATCAGGAAGAACTTCACAGTAAGGGTGGCCAGAATTTGGAATGGGCTTCCAAGGGAGGTGGTGCTCTCCCCTACCTTGGGGGTGTTTAAGAAAAGGCTAGATAGCTATCTGGCTGGGGTCATCTTCCTGCCCAGGCAGGGGGTCAGACTTGATGATCTGTTGAGGTCCCTTCTAACCCTAGCATCTATGAAACCTGAGCTACCTTTCATCACATAGGACTATACACTGGGCTGGTCTAGGGCTTGAATGAGATTAGCTCACGAATAAGGAACACCTGGCCAAAGCTGAACCCTGGCAAGAGACAGATGATGCTGGGAAGAGGGCAGGGGAAACCAATTTGAAGAGTTTACAAGCAGAGAATAGTCTCTTTTAGTTGAAGATACATGTCCTAGCTAATCCTGGCTGGATGTTTACCAGTTTGTTTGGTCTCAAGATATTAAACACTATGTGATTTTAATGGGGCAACACCAGCCTCTTCCCGGAGGTGGAGGTGGGGGCTGGGCCTGTGCTGGGCCCGGAGTGGGTGGGAGCAGGATGGGCTCAGTTGTGTGGGGTTGGTGGCCGTAGCAGCAGTGCTGGGAGGGGTGGAGCCTCCCAGTTTGGCCAAGCCTAGCCCTGGCCCAGCTCCCCCGGCCAGGAGCGCTGCACCTTTGTGGGTTCAGCTGCACAGGGTGGGTGGATGGCAGCACTGGGAGGGGGTGGCTAA